CTCTGGCTGCCAGTGTTGTTCACAAATCAGAGCTGGACTCAGTGGCCTGGGAGTTTGTTCACAGCAGCAGACTAGCCCAGCCCAGGCCAGCGACTTCTCTGTCCTCCCTCTTCCCTAAAGCCACCCAAGCTGCCTGCCCTGGATGAGAAGAATGTCCCTGCCTGGGACAGAGGGGACGTTCTTGTGTGGCCCTGGCGGTGAGGTTCCTGTGCCACCCGCAGAGGCCAGTTGTTTGAGCTCAGCTGCCCCCCGCCCACGTGACTTAAAGGAGAACGACAAAACCTACTCTAGGAAACCATCATAAGGACCCAAGGAGGAAACCTCAGGGTGTCCTTTTTCCCTTTACACACATTTCCTGAAGTCTGCCCACAGACCCAGGGCACTGAGCTGGCATGGGCCGTGCAGAGGGGCCCCTCCTCACTCCCCCGGCCTCATCCCCCACCAGGAACCTGGCGGACAGAGGCTGTGTTTGGCGAGGAAGCGCTGATCGGAATCCCGAGCGACATCCCTCTGCAGAGCGCGGCCACCCTGGGGGTCAACCCCTGCACGGCCTACCGGATGCTGATGGACTTTGAGCAGCTGCAGCCAGGTAGGAACCCGCAGGTGGGGCCAGTGGTGCCAGCTGGCACGTGACCCAAGTGCTGACCCGAGGCCACGGGGACCTGCCAGTGAGGGGGATGGGAGGCTGGCGGGCTCCCAACCCGGGAGAGTGTGCCTAGCAAGGTGACAGCTTGCTTCCTAGGGCACAGGCTGGGGCTGGTGAGGAGCAAGCAGGCCCTTGCAGACCACTAAGAGGTCACGTTCCCTCGCGCCTGGCTGGACTGCGTCACTCAGCAAGAATGTGCCGAGCTGTGCTGAGGCCTGGGGACACAAAGCCAGACAAGACAGACGCGGTCCCTGTGTTTCCAATAAAGCGCTGAACTCGGTGTTAATAACTCCACTCAGCATTTCCATCGCACTTTCCGGCTCGCGGCAGTGCCTTGCAGGCATTGTCCCGTGGAGTCCATTAATCTTCAGAACAGTGCTGTGAGGTTGGATCACCACTGGGTAAGAGCTCCAGCCCCAGGCGGACAAGCTAGGCCTGAGCGCAAGCTTCGCCTCTCGCTGGCCGTGTGAATTCACTTCGCAAGTCTACGTGTTGTTCACCCGTGCAGTGGTGGACAGGAGTCCTGAGGGTCCGTGGGCAGCCCAGTGACTGTCAGCTGCTGTTTGTGTGTGTGTGTGTGTGTTTAAGATTTATTTATTTATTTGAAAGGCAGAGAGGCAGAGAGAGAGAGAGGTCTTCCATCTGCTGGTTCACTCCCAATTGGCCACAACGGCCGGAGCTGCACCGATCCGAAGCCAGAAGCCAGGAGCTTCTTCTGGGTCTCCCATGCGGGTGCAGGGGCCCAAGGACTAGGGCCATCTTCCACTGCTTTCCCAGGCTATAGCAGAGAGCTGGATCAGAAGTGGAGCAGCCGGGACTTGAACTGGCATCCATATAGGATGCTGGCATTGCAGGTGGTGGCTTCACCTACTATGCCACAGCCCTGGTCCTGCTGCTTGTGTTCTTTCTTTCTTTCTTTCTTTTTTTTTTTTTTTTTTTTTTTTTGACAGGCAGAGTGGACAGTAAGAGAGAGAGACAGAGAGAAAGGTCTTCCTTTGCCGTTGGTTCACCCTCCAATGGCCACCGCGGCCGGCGCGCTGCGGCCAGCACACTGCACTGATCCGAAGCCAGGAGCCAGGTGCTTCTCCTGGTCTCCCATGCAGGTGCAGGGCCCAAGCACTTGGGCCATCCTCCACTGCACTCCCGGGCCATAGCAGAGAGCTGGCCTGGAAGAGGGGCAACCGGGTCAGAATCCGGCGCCCCGACCGGGACTAGAACCTGGTGTGCTGGCGCCGCAAGGCAGAGGATTAGCCTAGTGAGCCACGGTGCCGGCCTGTGTTCTTTCCTTTTAACAGTGGGGAAACTGAGGCCAGACAGATTCGTGATCTGCTTGAGCTCACTCAGCAAGTCAATTCCAGAGCAGGTGTTTGGCTGGGGTTCTTCTGATAGCAGCGCCTGAGATGGCGACCAGGAGCAGACAGTTTGATTCCAGCAGGCCAGGGCTGAGGGAGTGAGAGGAGCAAGGAAGGCCAAGCCCACAGGCTGCTCACTGCCGTGGGTGACGGGGGCTCAGTGCTGCCGGGACCTCACGAGCACCCACGCAGGGTCAGGCCCCAGATGGTGGGGGCAGGGCCAGTGTCCCCCCAACTCATCTCTAGTGGTTCAGAGTTCCCCAAGGGGCATCCGTTTCCCAGGCTGCCCCTGCCAGCGAGGACACGGAGCTGCTGGAGTGTGATAACACTGGGTGGCCAGAGCTGACCCCAGCTTCACACGCAGAGAAGTGTAGCTTCTCGCTGCTGTGGTGGTGGGGCCCTGGGAGCCTTCAGTGCAGAAAGCCAGCAGCTGCAAGCAGGGATGTTTTCCGGAGGCCTGGGGCAGCAGATACTTTGGTTGCCTGTGTCTTGTCCCCGGAATTCACCTCTGATGGCCCACAGCAGCAGCGACAGATCTGGGCATTCTCACACCCCTGGAAGTGCCACTGTGTATCCCTCCACTTTTCCACTCAGGGCCAAGCGGCACAGGCTCAATCCAAGCTAAGCAAGCTAAGCTAAGCACTCCTGACCCAGAGTGAGAAGCACATTTCACATTATAATCCAGGACAAAGACCCAGGCTCCTTGGGGCAGCTTCCTAAGTCCGATGCACTCTATTATTTTTTATTCTGTCTCCTGTGACCTTAACTAGAAAAAAAAATTCTGCTGGATAGATTGATCATCCACTAGTGAGTGACGCCGGCAGAGGAGTCGCCTTCTCCCAGGAGTCCTTTCTGTCTCTCTGGCTGCAGCCCATATTGTGCCAGGTCCCTGCTGCCTCAAAACACCAAGTAGCGTTTCAGACTCAGCCAAGCACCTGCCTGGACACATGCATTTGACTCTGGTCAGGGCCACCTGACTGCTGCCTGAAGGTCAGAGAGGTCCTGAGTTGCCCCTTCTCACTGAGTGGCAGTCCTTGGTGAAGCTGGGCCTCACAGCCAGGTCCATCTCGGCCCAGAACCCACATTTTTCTCAGCATGGTCCACTGCCTGCTCCATGGGAGAGACCTGGGCCTTGACTGTGAACTCTGTGGAGGACCCTGTGTCAGAGGCTCCCAGTTTCTCTGGTGCCACTCTGATCCCCTGTCAAAGCAGTGCCACTTTATTAAACAGTACAGAGAGGCATAAGGCATGCCCCCCCTCCCCCCGGAAGCTGCAAGCTGCTGATAGAAATGGGCCCATCAACACAACCAGGTACAGGATAGGACAGGCCAGGTGTGTCTGCAGAATGTGGCGGAGCCCCAAGGGCAGAATCAGGAAGGAAGCCACACTGAGGTGAGTTCACAGAAAGGAGCGAAGGAGGCGAGCATTGCAGACCAGGGAAAGAACCCAAGCAGAGACTCGAGGGCATAAAAATTGGGAGAATAACGGAGCGGGGGGAGTCATTTACATAGGAGTCTAAATTATGCCCACTGTGGATGCTCAGTGGCCAAGTACTGGAAGGCATTCGGGGTGTTGCGAAGTTTGGGGAGCCTATAAGCAATGGGTGAAGGTCTAAGAAGGCACAGTAACTAGGTCCTGGAGCCTGAGGACTCCAGCTGTAATTGGACCCCAGGCGGGAAGCCCTTGACCTATCCCAGGTCTGCAGGGCCTGACTGGAGTCTCTTCCTGGCTCCACAGGGGACTCTGTCATCCAGAATGCATCCAACAGTGGAGTGGGGCAAGCAGTCATCCAGATCGCCGCAGCCCTGGGCCTGAGGACCATCAATGTGGTCCGAGACAGGTGCGTGGGGAGGCCTAATCCCAGTCTACCGCTTGGGCCTTTCCACGGAGCATCCCTGCAGGTGCCCAGCTCTCCACCAGATGGCGCCCTTGCATCAGCATAAACGGCCTGCTCTGTAGTTGGCTAACAGTTGGCAGGGGACAGATAAGTCAGAGCAAGAAACCAAGTTGCAGACAGCTTTGGGCTGTAGAATGAGCGAGTCCACGGCATGTGAAGGGAGACCGGGAAGGAGAGACCGCCCTTTACTGAACAGCCAAGAGCTGGTGAGACGCCTGACTTAGGATAAAACCGCAGTTCATCTGGGGGACTGTCTTAACCGTGCCGCTGTCCTGTGAACTCTTCGCCAGGCCCCCTGCCCCTCGCGTTGGCGCTGACAGTCCGAGGCACACTGAGTGCCACCGTGAGGCTGGTCGCGGCTCTTCTACACAGGAAGATGCCAGAGTTGCTCAGGAGACATGAGGCAGTCACGGACTCAGCTCCTCTGACTGTGGGGTCCTGCAGCTCAGATAAGCCTCACTATCCATGAACATGGGTGGTCTCTAGCCTCCTTGAGTTGCCAGGGGCTGTGGCAGTCACCCCTGCCCCTGTCTCGCATCAGGGAGGACAGGAAGCCAAGGACGTGGGAGTGTGATGCCAGGAGGCAGCAGGTGCCCCGCCCAAGGCCTGGCTTAACCTCTGTCCCAGCCCTCAAAGAGAAAGGTAGCTTTGCGCAGCTGTGACGCAGGGCCCCGGGAGTCCTGGGGGAGAAAGGCCGCAGGTGTGACCGGGCCCTGGATTGTGCTCGGTTTCCAGGCCTGACCTCCCCAAGCTGACCGACAGACTGAAGGACCTGGGGGCTGAGCATGTCATCACAGAAGAGGACCTGAGGAAGCCTGAAACGAGACACTTCTTCAAGGTACCAAGGGGAGGGGCGTCCTCCCTCCGCCCCACACTTCTCCCTGAGGAAAGTTGAATTGGGAATGCTGGGGACCCCTCTGAAGCCCCCCTCCACCCCTTCCTGGGAGGAGAGAGCCATGCCTGTAGCCAGGAGCCAGGGTGCGTCAGGTGCCCAGCTGTTGGGGGAGGGGGCAGGAGGAAAACAGAATTTAGGAAACACTCTGTGATTGGCAGTTTCAGATGTCTGTGGTGAGTCCCAGCAGCCCACAGGTGGCAAGAATGAGTCTTTTTTTTTTTTTTTTTTAAGATTTATTTATTTATTTTGAAGTCAGAGTTTCACAGAGAGAGACAGAGAGGAAGAGAGGCAGAGAGAGAGAGGTCTTCCATATGCTGGTTCACTCCCCAATTGGCCACAATGGCTGGAGCTGCACTGATCCGAAGCCAGGAGCCAGGAGCTTCTTCCAGGTCTCCCATGTGGGTGCAGGGGCCCAAGGATTTGGGCCATCTTCCACTGCTTTCCTAGGCCATTGTAGAGAGCTGGTTCGAAAGTGGAGCAGCTGGGACTTGAACCAGCACCCATATGGAATGCTGGCACTGCAGGCGGCGGCTTTACCCACTGTGCCACAGCGCTGGCCCCGCATGAGTCTTACAGCTGGGAGAAGACCTGAGAAAACTGAGGCATAGAGGGAGGGGCAAGAAGTAGTTTCCTAAGCACACTTCTTCCGTGTGTCTGATACTCCCCTCTAAAGCTCCGTGGAGTTCCCTGTTGTATAAGTGAGGACTTACGGAAGACACAGCACTTGACCGAGACCATAGTAGATGTAAGCGGTCAGGGCTGACCCCTGGTCTCTCTGAACTTAAGGCCTCCTCTTTTTACCCCTCACTTTATTTGAAAGGCATAAAGATAAAAAGATCTCTCATCCACTGGCTCGCTGTCCAAATGACTACAACAGCCAGGGATGGTTCAAGCCAAAGCCAGGAGCCAGGAACTCAATCTGGGTCTCCCCGGAGGTGTCGGGGAGCCAAGTGCTTGAGTCATCTGCTGCCGTCCAGGGTGTGTGTGTGAGCAGGAAGCTGGATTGGAAGTGGAGGAGCCTGGACGGGAACCCAGCCACTCCCAGTGTGAGATGCAGGCATCCCAAGCAACACATTAATCACTGCACCAAATGGCTGCCCTCCAAGGCCTCTCCACCCTCCAGAATGTGTACGCCCAAGCATCCCTAGCGGGTGACCAAAGCCAGTCTCGGCCTCTTCTCACTCAGCCCCCTGGAGAAGCCGCCTGAAGCAGGAGATCAGCTCATCTCCCGCGGACAAAGTCCTGCGTGCCGGGAAGAGGTGCCCTGGAGAGCTAGAGTCTGCGGCAGCTGAACAGAGACGCTCTGTTCCTTCCCAGAGACTCCTGGACCCAGTCTGGACCCGCACGGCAGGGGTAGCTTGCCCAGAAAAGGCATCAGCATCCCGTTCCCTGCACTCCCTCCTCCACCGCAGCCGGGGCCAGGGAGGTGCTGCTGGAAGCGAGCTCCAGAGCCCCCGAGAGAGGAAGCCCCCTCACCCCCGGCTCTGTTTTCCAGGACATGCCCCAGCCGCGGCTCGCTCTCAACTGCGTGGGCGGGAAGAGCTCCACGGAGCTGCTGCGGCACTTAGCGTAAGTCCCCGAGGCCCAGTGACCGGTGCCGGCCAGGGCCAGGTTGGCGTGTGGGGTAGGAAAGTGGGACTGAGGTCACCCAGCTCTCTGGGCACTGCTTTCTCCTCTCCCCCTAGATGACCTCTGGGGAGCCTGACCAGCTTCATTTTTCCAAAGGAGTCCAGGAATAGGCTGCTGAGCTCTCAAATAAGGGAGTGGTCAAGAATTCATGACCCAAGGGCACCCTAAAAGGCACTCAGTCCTGGTTATTAGCTCTTAAAGCTTTTATTGGCTTTTAAAAGATTTTCCTCATTTTAGAGGTAACATTGTACCTATTAGACAGCATTTCGAAAGCATGTGAAAGTACACAGGAAAGCTGAAGCTTGAACGCCACCTGTCAGCCCTCACCCCTGGGGACAGCGCGTCCTTGTCTTCTTCAATAGAAACTTCTCCAGCTAGGGGGCGCCCGAGAGACACTGCCCTGCCACATGCGTTCACCGGGCGCTTGGTACCAGGTCGAGCAGCGGAGACACTGAAGTGCCCCCGAGAACTGCGGGCTAGACGCTAGATGTGCAGATGGGTTGTGTGGCCACACAGCTGTGCTGAGACCCACCGGGCACTTCCTGTGCACCGGGGCCTGACCCAGCCCTCCTGCAGCCCCTGGGCGGGGCACACTCTTCTGGTCTGCATTTCCTAGCTATGCGTAGCCCAGAGAGGGCCATCGCCTTGCCCACGATCTGGTAGGCAGAACCAGGCTTGACTGCAAACGTCGGTGACTCCGGAAGGCACCCTTCAGACCTGGCAGCCTCTGGGGCCCACTGCAGCCCCCACGTCACTGCCGGAGGAAGCCTTGTGCTGTGGCTGCAGCCCAGGCACTGGAGTCAGGAACACCGGGGTGAAGCCCCAGCTCATGTCTCTTCATCCGTAAGACTGGGTGATATCAACCTGTTCTGCCCGCGAAGGCTAGTCTGTGTGGGGAGCATCCGGACTGGACTAAGTTACTGGAATTAAGACTTATTCTATGCATCTGCTCTCCCACAATATGGCGCTGGGAGAGAAGTAAACAGCTTCCGCACAGCTGCCTCCAGTTCAACTAATAAACTGTAGGACTTGCTCCTGATTGGAGGAGAGCGGCGTGCTCGGCGTGTGGGCAGCCGAGTTAGGATTGGCGGAGGAGGACTATAAAGGAGGAGAGAGACGGCATGCACCGGGAACATCTATGGGGAACATCTAAGGGAACCCGTGCAGCCCCCGAGAAAGCCGGCCGGCGGTGTGCCGCTCCCCTGCGGAAGTGGGGAATGCGGCCAGGGGGAACTGCCCTTCCACGGAGGTGGAAGGGATAGTAGCCAACCCGGGAAGAACCAGCAGCAAACCCGGGGAGGGCCGAGCAGACGAAAGAACAGCGCAGGGTCCTGTGTCGTTCCTCCACGAAGAGGGGGAGCGACATAATGGTGCCGTGACTCGGATATGAAGCCTAGGCAGGGTTTAGTGTTGCTCCTCCACGAAGACGGGGACTGACAGTCTGCAGGACATGGAGATGATGCAGAAATCGCTGTGTAACTCAGGGCCGGGCTTTAGCTTCCTCGGGTGCAAAAGAAATTCAGAGTGCTCCCTGGGGTCACTGACGGCTAACAGCGTGCTTAGAACGGTGCCTGGCCCACGGGACACGTTAGCTCTTCATATGGACCAGGTGTGGGGGATGGGGGAGGGCATGGCTCCTTGGGAGCTGCAAGTGCCATGGAAGAAAGCTCGGGCCCAAACTCCCCAGAGCCTCAGGGACAGAGACTGCCTCACACAGCAGCTGCTGTCACCTTGTCACTTTGTCGTTTACAGTGGCTGGCTTCCTCCCCATTGTCCCCAAATGTGCCTCAGGTCATCCTTCATCCACAAACTCCCGAAGGAGCCTGGGGGGGCGGGGGGGCACGGGTTGAACAAGCAGCACCTAGCTTATCAGCTTCTAAGCACAGCACCCTTGCTCCTGTTTGCTGAGGTGGGCGTGTGGATGGCAGGGGTCACCCCTGCCTGTTAGCTATTCACCACACTGACCCTTAGAGTGGACACTGACAGACAGATGAGGTCTGGACCCTTTCCCAGGTACCCCCACGGTCGCCTGCCTGGAAGGGGACCAGGGCTGTGCGTGCCTGGGGCTGCTCTCTGTAGAGCACACTTCCTTGTGGCACTTCATCAGAGCCTGACCAGGGAGATTGGCTCATTCGGCTCCCAACCCTCGCTAAATATCCAGGTCACCTGGAGGGTGTGTGTTTCATACCGATTTGTGCCTCCTGCTTGATTAGGTCTGGGGTCAGGGCTAGGAATCTGTACTTTGAAACCCTTCCCCAGGGATTCGGAGCACAAGCTTAGGCACAGGGGTAGGAACTGAAGCACCATAGCAGGTTCCAGATAGGCTGGGTCTCTGCCTGCACCCACTGTGTTCTCTCTGGATTCTCCAGGCCTGGGGGCACCATGGTGACCTACGGCGGGATGGCCAAGCAGCCCGTCATAGCCTCTGTGGTAAGCTGGTGGGGGAACCTGCTGGGAGTTGGGGGCCCAGATGCCTCAGCCAGGCCCCTGCCCTGGGAGGGACTCAGCCTTAATGGGCCTGAAGTCCTGGTCCTCAGAGCCCTGTGTCCCCTCCCTGTCCGCAGAGCCTGCTCATTTTTAAGGACCTCAAACTTCGGGGCTTTTGGTTGTCCCAGTGGAAGAAGGACCACAGCCCAGGTGAGTGGATGATGGCCCCAGTCCCGGGGTCACAGGACAGCTCAGTGCCTAAGAACGGCTGCAGAAGTGACCCACCTACTCTGAGCCCTGCAGAGGTGACTGGGTCTGCAGCCCACGGCGAGATAAAGGAAAGCAGCCTCTACCCACACCTGCCCCTCCACCACTCAGCAGCCGCCCAGCTCCACCCTAGTCCAGGTCTGTGGGTCGGAGCCATCACTGCCGCCAGTCTGAAGGATAGCGGCTGCCTGCCCAGCAGCTGGGGGCGGGGGAGGGGGCCCTCCCACACTCCTCCGTCCCTTCCGGGATCTCACTGTGCCGGATACAGGTGGGGACCAGACTGGCAAAGCTGGGACTCCCATGCTCTCCTGGAGCTCCGCACCAGCCCTGCCACATGGGCAGCCCGTGCTGTGCCAGCTCAGCAGGCTGCAGCTCCCTGTGCCCGGCTGACTGCCTCTGCCCTCCTGCAGCCCAGTTCAAGGAGCTGATCCTCACGCTGTGTGATCTCGTCCACCGAGGCCAGCTCCGCGCCCCTGCCTGCACCGAGGTCCCGCTGCAGGACTACCAGCGTGCCTTGGAGGCCTCCACGAAGCCCTTTGTATCCACAAAGCAGATTCTCACCATGTGACCGTCCCGGAGAGGCAGAGTGGAGCGGACGGGCAGACTGGCTGCAGGGCCCCGTCCAGCCCTGCTGCTCCTCACTGCCTCTTCCTGCCAGCAGGACTGCGAAGCCGGCCAAGGCTTCCCCGCCAGCCAGCCTTAGGTTGTCTAATAAAGTCTGAATTTCCTAAAGACACAAAGCCCTCCCTGTGCACCCGCCCCCTCCTGCCCTTCCCTCATCTGGTCCCCAGCAGCCCCCTCCAGAGCAGCCTGAAGGCAGAGCCTGGGTGGGCACTGGCAGGTGCAGCAGCCAGTAAGCTGTGACCTCTGCCCTCAAGCTCTGCCAGCCCACAGGGAGACCAGTAGAATCTCACTTCCCGGGTAGTGTGTGGCTCAGTCCCTGGCAGGGTTGGCTGGGCTGAGGCCCTCAGCCCTGAGAACCGAGGACAAGCTGCAGCACCCTCATGAAGCTCACTCTAACGCTGCACCAGTGGTTCCCAGCCAGAGGCAACTTCGCCCCCTGGGGTGGCTAGGGACATTTTTGATTGTCATGACTTGCAGAGGAGGGGTTTGTTGGCATCCAGTGAGCAGGGGTCGGTGATGCTCGTGAACATCCCACAGTCCCCAGGGCAGCTTCTCGCATCCCAGTGTTCACGTGCAGCTGTTGAGAAACCCCGTGTTCAACAATCCCGGCATCATGACTGCCGTGACCAGTGCTACAAAGAAGACATGTA